CGTCGAAGGATCCTTAGGGTTTAGGGTTTAGGGTTTAGGGTTTGGGGTTTAGGGTTTGGGGTTTCAGGGTTTAGGGTTTAGGGTTTAGGTCTGGGGGGTTAGAAGGCTCTCTAAGGTTTAGGGCTTTCAAAATCTCAAACCCGAAAAGGCACAACCCCTCAACTAAATCTCGCACAGCCCCCAGCAAACGGCCTTCACCGTCCTGACACCCAAAATAAAAGCCCCTAAGCCCAAAACCCTAAACTTACCTTTAAAACCCATGAAACCCTACAACAGCCTACAACTGCAGAACCTCCAACCTCTAAAGCCGCTGAAGCCTCCACCCCCGAACCCTCGTGCCGTGCTGCTGGGCCTGTCTCCCTTCTCACAGGCGCTGGCCGCCGCGTTGAAGCAGTATCCTTGCTTTGGGGGGTTTAGGGTTTAGGGTTTAGGGCTTAGGGTTTAGGGTTTAGGGTTTAGGGTCTAGGGTTTAGGGTTTAGGGTTTAGGGTTTAGGGGGCTTAGGGTTTCGGATTGAGGGCTCGGGGGAAAACAGAGGCGTTTAGGGTTTAGGGTTTAGGGGAGGGGGCGGTATCCTCGCTCTGGGTGCTCTTTGGGCAGTTGCTTGCGGTTTCGAGGAAACAAACTAATACAGGGGGCCTGATTATTAGGACAGGCCGTGGTATATCATACTATAAGACTATTGCTAAACTAGGGACTGTCAGGGAATAAGATTACAAACCATTCAGGCTTCTGTATGATGTGATTTCGGGGGCATGGGTCCCTTTCTTTCTCTTTCATTCACTTCGTTCCACTCTCGAAGCCGCTGGAGCCATTCAAACCAAAGCCAAAAATCACTAGCCCTCACGCCATGACCCAAAATGTCTCATGCAAATACCGGGAGGTAGATGTCATCCCTAAACCCTAAACCAAAAACCCTAAACCCTAAACCCTAAACCGTCAATGTCTCTTGGCCGTGCTTCGGTCCACCTCCATTTGCCGCTGGGACATCCGCACCAGCAAGTCCAGAGCATCCTCCCACCGAGCCGCCTGCAAGGCTCTTGGTGTGTAGCTTTTGGGGCTCAGGTGCAAGGTTCAAGGTGTAGGGTAAAAGTTTAGGGTTTAGGGTTTAGGGTCCAAGTTTGAGGTTAAGAGGTTCAGATTTAGGGTTTAGGGTTCAAGGTTGAGGGCGGTGGCATAGGCGCCGAGGCTAGAAACCCCCACACCTCCCCACAAACACCCATAGAACCCCTAAACCTTTAAACCCCAAACCCCTAAACCCTAAACCCATCTAAATCTTCAGAAATCAACCCTAAGATCGAAACCAAACATAAGGGGTGTGGGGTTTAGGGTTTAGGGACTCAAACCATGCAGCCGAAACCCTGGAAGTCCACAGGTCGTCACAAGTAGGGCTCCTACTGTTGATGATACAAAAATCCTGCATTACCTTAAGGACCCTAAACTATGGGTTTAGGGTTTAGGGTTTAGGGTTGTAAGGACGCTAACTATGGGAATTATGGTATATTCCTTCTTACGGGTGATGCAGGATTTGCGTCATCAACCGTAGCCAAGCACCTCAGCAGGGGTTGAGCTTCGGGTCTTTAAGTCGGAGCTCCCGAAACCGCCCAAGAACTCCCTGAGATTGAGAGTTACAGGGTGTGCTGGCGCGTTCACACACTTTCGCTCATGGCTTTTAGGGGTTTGGGCTGGTTTGGGGTTAGTTTCGCACTTTAGGTGCTTGAAAAGTCGAAGATGGATGCCTTCATGACAAGGCTATTGTAAGCATGAGGCCAATGTACGAGGGGCGGCAGGGGGGAGGAGTTTTGCACTGAGAGTTTGGGTGTGAACTGCCCCTTAATCGTGTGGTAGGAATGACCGACAGGAAGGTAGGCGTTCGGGCATTCGGGCTTTAGGGTCTTAACAGTTCAGAGCTGTAATTTAGGGTTCAGGGATGTAGAACTGGAACCTTGCAACAAACATCCGGCTAGTTCGCGTAAGCCAGTGTCCCTAACTTGCTGACGATCTCAAGCAGACAGGCTTAGTTTAGGGTTCAGTGGGTGGGGCTTGGGGTCTCATATAAGGGCCCTAATTATTAGAATAACGTTCGGGGGTATAGTATACTATAATTAAAGCAAGGAACCCCCAAACCCTATTCTAATTATTGAGGCTCCTACATTAGGGTTTATCTAAGGGCTTTAGGAGGGACCCCTAACAAGGACCCTTAATCCCATTACCTTAAATAACCATTGTATAGTCCTTCTGCACCCCTTGTATAGCCAGGTAGTCTCCACAATAAACCCCAATAACCTACAAGGGGTCCCTAATAAGGGCCCCTCCTACAGCCCTTAGAGGTTGAGGCTTCCGAGCCTTGACGCAGGCACCCATAGCCGCCGTCCAGCTGATAGTGTCGGGGGGCATCTTCTGGCGATCCATCCTTTTCGAGCTTTTAGGGTTTAGGGTTTAGGGTTTAGGGTAGCCCTCTAAGCCCTACACTCGAAACCTAAACCCAAAACCCTGAACCTGAAACCCTAAACCCTAAACCCCTAAACCCTAAACTCTCAACCCAAAACTCTTGACGCTGAGACCTTGAAGTGCGGGCTGACTTCGGCTCGAATCGGAACAAAGCGATTACTAGACGGCTTTCCCTCACCCACCAAGATCGAGATCTCGACTCGCACCCATAGAAAAGAGCAGGGTGACAGCAGAAATGTAGATATACGAAGAACATGCACGATCACCCACTGCCACCTCTCAAATCACTCACAATAATAAATGTCATGATGAGGAGGGTGACAAACCATCATGATAATAACAGCAGTGGTAATAGTAACATCATACGAATCACAATAGCAATCATGCTGTTGATGATATAAATCCTGCATTACCCACAATAAGGAATATTATGCCATAATTCCCATAGTTTGGGGTCCTTAAAACCCTAAACCCTAAACCCTAAACCCTAAACCCATAGCTTAGGGCTCCTTAAGGCAATGCCGGATTCTGCATCATCAACAGTAGCAAGCAATCATGATGAGCGAACTGGAACGAAGAACCTGGGTGCAGTTTGGGGCTCCTTTAAAGGGGTCCTTAAAGGGTTCTATAAGGGATCTAGAATAGGGTAAAAGGGGTCCTTAAAGGGTTCTATCTATAATAGGGTAAAAGGGGTCCTTAAAGGGTTCTATAAGGGATCTATAATAGGGTACCCTAAACCCTAAAACCTAAACCCCTAAACCCCTAAACCCCTAAACCCTAAACCCTAAACCCTCTATATTAGGGGCCTTAATGATTAGAAGCGAGGCGGAGCCAAGGGGCAGTTGGAGGAAACTGAGTGATGCCTGCCACCTGAGCCCGGTGGGTTGAAATCTGACAGGCTGTAGGTTTGGGGCTTAGGGCTTAGGGTTCAGGGTTCAGGGTTTAGGGTTAAAGGTTAAGGGTTTAGGGCTTAGGGCTTTGGGTTTAGGGTTGAGGGTTAAGGGTTAAGGGCTTAGGGTTTAGGGTTCAGGGTTAAGGATTAAGGGTTTAGGGTTTAGGGGTTGGTGTGATCTCAACTCGTCTTAGGTTGATATAGACCTCTGATTAGCAAAGCCCACTTTCCTTCAGGGCCACAATATTCGGATACCCATTCAAATCCTATGAATGCAGTCTAGAACTTGCTCCAGCTTGATGTAGGGGCCGAATCAATTAGAATAGGGTTGTGGGTGATATTCCGTTATACTTACAATGTTACCCACAACTCCCTTCAGTTGAATGTGGCGGCCCAAAGCATTGGAACAGCCTAAGGGCTCGCATCGCTAAGTATTGGTTTTCAGCTCAGGGCTGATATCGGTTTATGGTTTATGATTTAGGGTTTAGGGTTTGAGGGTTTAGGGCTTTGGGTTTAGGGGTTTAGGGGTTTTCGGGGTTTAGGCCTTTGGGTTTAAGGCTGATTCTTGCAGCCTTGCGTTTGGAATCTCGGTGAATGACTTAGTATGCTTGAGCGGTCAGCGCTTGGTGTCGCAATGCTAGTCTTGGAGTTTTCTGCAAACTCCGCTCTTGATGTGGGCTGCATCGTAGGTAGATGGCTCATCAGATCTCCTTCAAGGACCAGCATTCGGGCGTGACGTCTTCTGGACCCTAACCTCCAATCCCTAAACTGTCCCAGAAGTGTGCAGGACGTCGCTATCCCGACTATGCCATGACGGCCTCGATGGGACGCCACGTGTAAGCCGTAGTGCCGTAGGGTCTAAGGCTTGCGGTTAAGGGTTTAGGTTTCGGGCCTGCGGGTAAAAATGCTGTTTTCTGATGCAACATGTACGGCAGGCGGGTTCCCTACCTCTAGCTGTAGCTTTCCCGAACAGCATATAGGCTAGAGCCACCACTACAAACAAACCATTCCTGCATCCCGCCTCGTTCCACACTGTGAGGTTTAGCGCGTGCGGCTTGGGGCCCGGGGCCTAGGCTACTAGGGGTTTTCGGTTGAGATTTGGTTTTCGCGGCTTAGCCAAAAGACTCCAACAAAACAGCCGATGAGAAGAGGGAAAAGGGCACCACATAGGGCACAGGGTTCGCTAAACCCCTGAACCCCTGAACCCTCCTAAACCCTAAACCCTAAACCCTAAACGCAAAACCCTAAACCCTAAACCCCAAACCCTAAACCCCCAAACCCCCAACACCCGAAACCCACGGAAAGATGCCGGAAGCCAGGGACCCCCACTGGCTAGCCCCCTCGCAGGCAGCGATGACAGAGCTGAAGCCTTAGCTGCTCAGGTTTAGGGTTTAGGGTTTTAGGATTTAGGGTTTAGGGTTTAGGGTTTTTGAAGCTTTACGGCTTCGAGTTTAGGTTGAACATTTCAGGCTTATGTCGAAGCTATATGACACCAAGCCCCACCCGACTTTTTGTGTCTAGGCAGTTTGAGGTTACAAGCATTGTGTGGCTTGAGCGTAAGATTGGGCCATCATCCTCAGGTATCCCCATTCGAGAATCGGCCAGAGTGGAGCATTCTAGGTTTCATGCTGCTCTAGGAGGAACCCCTCCCGAAGGAAGGCAGCGAAGCGGCTGAAAGCTGTGGGCTGGAGACCCGCTGCGGGCATCGCACCCAGCAGCACCAATGCTCTCTCCCACTGACTGCCTCAAGGAAGAGGCTACGGTTCCTTCAGAACCCAAAACCCACTTTTTTGTAGGTTCTTATTGTAAACCCTAATATGGGATTTATAGGGACCCTACAAAAAAGTCGGTTTTGGGTTCTTAAGGTAGGCCCCTATATTACACACGTCGACGAGGCTTCAGATCAGGAAGCTCCAAGCCGAAATTTGCGCAATTTGTGCTTGGAGCCTTAGGCTTGTTAGGATTTAGGGTTTAGGGTTTTAGGGTTTAGGGTTTAGGGTTTAGGGTTTAGGGTTTAGGGTTTAGGGTTTAGGGTTTAGGGTTTAGGGTTTTAGGATTTTGGGGTTTAAGGTTTAGGGTTTAGGGTTTTCAGGGTTTGTGGTTTAGGCTTCTGATGGGCTCAGAGCCAATGTTTTTCTCAGCTTTGCGTGGTTACCGTCCTTCGGCTTGTTCGGGACTTGCTGGCGTCAATGCCGATGTTTCCTCAACTTCGGTGGAACCCTAACCCCTAAACCCTTTAAACCCCAAACCCTAAACCCTAAACCCTAAACGGTCAACGACATCGACCCGGGCCCCCATGATCCGAACTAGCGAATCGAGCATGTCTGCACGAGCAAGAAACAGTCATGGATGTAACCGTTGCACATGCAAGACAACTGACAATGCACAAACAACTGTTGCACATGGCATACTCACGAACGGGTTCAGGGTTTAGGGTTTACGTTTTAGGGTTTAGGGTTTGCGGTTTAGGGTTTAGGGTTTCGGGACGTCTCAACTCCGAGCCCTACAGCCCCAAGCCTACACACACACACACCCACACACACACACACACCAAAAAAAAAAACGCGAAACTAAATCCTAGAGCCACAAACTAAACCCCCAAAAACCTGAAACCCTTGAACCCTAGAGCCCCTGGAGCCCTAAACCCCAAAACCCTGTAACCCTGAAGCCTTGAAACCCTAACTAGGGTTTGGGGTTTAGGGTTTAGGGTTCTAACACCT